AAACACTTGTTAGTTTTTTGTTCTTATTAATTTTATGTGAAAAAAGAGGTGATAGACGTCATTTGTACATTTATACATGTAGATTAGAAAAAAGAAATCTTTATTATTCTAATTTTAAATAACTTTTTTATTTACTATATTAGTTTTATTAATATAATATATAAGTATCATATTGAACAGATAAAACAAGAAATATTTTAATTATATAATATTTAATATGTAAGAAATGTAACTCAATTGGTAAATTAATAGGTAATCTTGGGATAAAATAATGAGTGATTTCTGAAAAAAAAAATAAAAAATTATAGGAACTAAAAAGTTCACGTGTCTAATATATTTTTAATAAAAAAATTGTAAACACAATTACTCAATAAATACTACATAAAAAAAATATAAGAAATCTTATATCCTCCTATATATAATTAAAAAACATAACTTTTCTCAATTCAACATAAGCACATCAATGAAAATAATATATTTTTAAAAATTTTATGAACAAAAGTTGACTCGATAATATTATTAATGAATTTATGAATTGTAAATTATTAATTAGAAAATTGTAATTAAATATAATATAATATAAGATATACAAATATTTGATATATAATGAGGCAGATGACCGAAAAAGTTCTATACTTTATATTATGTCTTTTTTGGCAAATCTACAGTTAAGAACATGTGAAAGAACAAGATAAAGTTTTAAAAAATATTAAATATAAGAAATAATATGAATAATAACTAAGTTGTGACACGTACTAATAAATATAAAACAAACTAATAAACAAAAATAATATAATTAATATAACTAAATATAAACCTTCTAAAAATATACTTATCGATGTAATCGAACTGAGTTGTTAAACGCTTGTTAGTTTTTTGTTCTTATTAATTTTATGTGTAAGTTTGAGGTGATAGACAATAGTTATTTGTACGTTTATACATGTAGATTAGAAAAAAAATCTTTATTATTCTAATTTTAAATAACTTATTTATTTACTATATTAGTTTTCTTAATATAATATATAAGTATCATATTGAATAGGTAAAACATGATTTTTTATTTTTTATTTTTTATTTTTCTCTCTCTGCGGTGATTCTTCGAAACCCTTGCAGACAACCTCACTTGCGCTTGTCCGGCCTCCCTGTCGACGGCGAGGCTCGAGCCTGTAGCCGCCGTTGACCGCTCGCTCTGTTCCTGATGTCTCGCCTTTCCGCTTTGCTGCAATTGCTGGTGATGGACTCGCCGTCCTCAGTCGTCTGCGAGATTCCGATTGGGGTGGTGGTCCCTCGATCTAAGTCCGATGGCTCTTCCTCGCTGGCGGATCTTCGATTGGTGAGGTATTTCCCCTTAATTTATCTCTTGTTTTGCAATTGGGTCCATTTGGTCTCCCCTGCTGTGGGTGTTTCCGGTGGTTGTGTGGGGGTTCTGCTGCCGGCGGACTGTGGCGGGGTTGGGGGGTGTGCGGGTCAGTGGACGGGGCGGGACCTTGGTGGACGAGACACCTGGTGTCGAGAAAGCTTGGGTTGTAGGGCCGGGCTGCTCCCCTCCTCGGTCTTCTGGTGTTGGGGACTGAAGGGGTCCGGTACGCTCGATTTCTACTAGTGGTGTTAGGAGAGGTTGGGTTGCGTTGGTGTTGGGAGCGGGTCTTGTTCTCACGGTTGGTGGTGGGTTGATTTGAGATGGCTTCGGAGTTCAGGTTCGGTTGCTGTATAGGCCTTATCGCAGTTTCAGTAGCTGTTACTCGGGCTTGGGGTCTTCTTGAACCGACTGTTTCGCTATTGGTTTTTGGGCTCGTGTGTCGACCGGGAAGGCCATAGTCTATTTAGTTGTTTTTAGCCTTTTTGTTTCTGTTTGTTTTCTTGTATTTTTGGTTTGGGCCATTTGGCCTCTGTGAGCCTGGGTGTCAAATTTATTCTCCTGTTGGGAGCCGACACTCGGGTATTCTCCTGTTGGGAGCCTTGTTAGTTTTTTTAGTTTTTGTCGTTGTTGGTTGGTGTTGTTAGTGAGCTTTGTTATTCTAGCGTTGCTAGGTCAGGCTTTAGGCGATCTTTTGATCTGCCTCCCAGTTTTTTCAGTCCTCAGTTGTACTATTCAGCTTTTGGCTGCTTCTCTTCGCACGTTGTGCGGTTTTTATTAATAGAGTACCTCTTTCGTTTTGGAAAAAAAAAAAAAACAGATAAAACATGAAATATTTTAAGTATATAATATTTAATATGTAAGAAATGTGACTCAATTGGTAAATTAATAGGTAATCTTGGGACAAAATATTGAGTGATTTCTGAAAACAATTATAGGAACTAAAAAGTTCACGTTTTAAAATATTTTTAATAGAAAAATTGTAAACACAATTACTCAATAAATACTACATAAAAAATATAAGAAATCTTATATCCTCCCTATATGTAATTAAAAAACATAACTTTTCTCAATTCAACATAAGCAAATCAATGACAAAACTTATAACTCTCATTAAATCCAAAAGTAAAAATACTGATAACATTACTTAATGTACAATATCAATTGGAGCTGACTAATGATAAATATAAAACATACTTAAGATACACATATATTTTAACTAGAACTTTTAAGTACATAATATATATACATATATATA